GCGCAGGTCGTACCGGTCTGTCGTAGTGAATCTGCGTCTCCTGCTCGATGTCAGAGTCGAGCTCCGGGACGTCAGACACGTCGCTGTCCGACTCCTCGCTGTTGGAGTCTCCGTGACCGTCTGAAGAGGAGACACCAGAGTCACGATCACAGCTTCTACTTTGCTTCTAATGTTTTTAATCTTTTATTTCTACTTTTTGGTTTTTCCTCCGTTACTCACGGGTACCTTGGATGTTGACGTCCGGGCCTCCGTTCATGACCGACTCCGGCAGAAACCTCCACTGGAAGAGGGCGTGGTCGGCCCCACCTGTGGTCAGCACCCACTGCAGGTCATGTGACCAGCGGACGTTGGTGACGTGGGCCGAGTGGCCGATGTACTTCTTGAACTTGGCTCCTTGGAGGAAACACAGGTTTGTTATGAGAGGAAAGAAGCAGAGGAAAGAAGGCGTGGAGCGGCGAGACGGAGGAGACGGAGACCTTTCCTCACGCAGGGGAAGCGGAACAGCTTCACGAGGCCGAGGTCGTCTCCGGTGACGAGCACGGCGGCGGAGGGGTTGGCGTCCACGGCGTTGATCTCGGTTTGGGCTGAGTATTTAGGCCAGATGCCGCTGACCTCCGAGCCCAGTACGCCACTCCAGGAGGCCCAGCGCTGACCTTTGACCTCCTCCTTACTGACCAGCTTCCCCACTGCGGGAGGACAAGAAGAAGATGACGGCAGTGACAACCGAAGAATAAAACTCATTTCCATAGCTTAGGGCGCCGCGGCTGATCTCTGCGCTGGCGTAAGTGATAAACAGCAGCGCCACAGATTTTATCGACGCCGCCGCGCCGACAGAAGCAGATAGAGAAACGTGTTCGCGGTGCAGATTCATATCTGCGTCGATGCCGGCGGCGTTTCTCTCCGCGGGTTTGCAGCTTGTCCTTCACAGGCATGAATATGAGGAGGAGACAAGCTGAAGGAGCAGCACTCCTGCGCTCTGGTGCGTGCTCCTCCCTCTGTGCTCTCCCTCCTGCAACAAGCTAAAAAAGCCTTTTTACTTCTGACAGAATCATTAAATGTTTGTTTTTAGTCTGACTGAAGCATTTTGTGCATTTCTG